TTTTAGCTTTTATTTGGGTTGGATAATGCAGAACATGGGAAACCCGGCGACGGAAGAAGAATTGTAGAAGATGACGAAGGTGATTGATTTGGACTGCTATGGGTTATTGATTTAAACATGTTTATTGACTTGAACACAAATTGGGTTGATTGGGTGGGTATGTTTAGAAGAGTTCAAGAGTATGATGATGGACACGCGCTCTCCAGGTTCGTCCTCTCAAATAACGTCATCACTTCAAATATAATTGAGGACATCATCAATCCCGAACTCATAAATAGGACTTTTGTTAAGTTGCCAACGTTCTAGGCGCGGGGCACCTACCTCCCTTCCAACGTCCCGAGCTCGTGCGTCCTTTCACTGAGCACTTGTCATACTCTACAAGGACCTTCCCAATTCATTCCCAACTTACCTAGATCGGTCTCAAGCACCATAACTTTCTAAAGTCCAAGATTGTCAACTCGGAAATAGCGTATCTTGACTCGGGCATTATAATACCAAGCTATTAGCTTTTGGCAAACCGCAGTCTTGATATATTTTTGGGCAGTAATGATAAGGGTGATTAGGAGTTCTTAATAAAATAGAATTTGTTATGTTAGGATAGAGTTTGAGATGGATTACGATGGACTACATAGAGTCTAAGAGTTTGAGTTTGAATTGGTTTGTTATCTGTTTCAATCAATAAATATGAAGTAATTATAACACTCATGAATGCAAATTTTCAAGCTTTCCTTGTCTTTATCATGGTATGAGAGCCAAAGGTTTGAATCTAGAGGCATCCCATCGTGCATCCTATGTCTATAGCGGGTGGCCGGATTCGTAGCCACCCGACGGGTTATCGTTGTTTCTTGTTTAATTTAGATTTTCATTCATATCTCTTTTTTATAGTCATTTCTAGTTTAGCTTTTACTTGGGTTAGATAATGGAGAATTTGGGAAACCTGGCACCGGAAGAAGATTTGTAGAACATGGCGAAGGTGGTTGAATTGGATGACAATGAGTTTGATGATTTAAACAAGTTTATTAACTTGAACACGAATAGCGTTGATTCGGAAAAAGTTGTGGCGAATCTGAGACACACGTCTATGATAGTTAATGTAGATGCAAACGGGTCCATATCACTAGAAGAGTTGGAGGAGGTACTCAGAAGTCTGGAGGACGATAAGTGTTTGATCGCAGACTATAAGATCATTCGTGGGGTTGATTCTGATTGAGATGGGTTGGTAAATTTTGAAGAGTTCAATAGTATGAGGATGAACACGCGCTCTCGTGGTTCCTCCTCTCCAATAACATCATCACTTCAAACATTCTTGAGGACATCATCAATCCCGTACTCATAAATAGTACTGTTTTAGGTTGCCAACGTGCTAGGCGCGGGGTACCTACCTCCCTTCCAACGTCTCGAGCTCGTGCGTCCCTTCACCGAGTAGTTGTCATAGTCTATAAGGACCTTCCCAATTCGGTCCCAACTTACCTAGATCGGTCTCAAGCACCATAACTTTCCAAAGTCCAAGATTGTCAATTCGGAAGTGGCATTTCTTGACTCGGGCATTATAATACTAGGCTACTAGCTTTTGTTAAGCCGCAGTCCGGATATATGTATGGGTTGTTATGATAAGGGTGATTAGGAGTTCTTAATAAGATAGAATTTTTTATGTTAGGATAAAGTTTGAGATGGATTAAGATAGACTACCTAGAATCCTACATAGAGTCTAAGAGTTTGAATTTGAATAGGTTTGATTTCTGTTTCAATTTATAAATATTATGTAATTATAACACTCATTAATGCAAATTTTCAAACTTTCCTTCTCTTCTATCATGGTATGAGAGCCAAAGGTTTGAATCTAGAGGCCTCCCACCGTGCTTCCTATCTCTCTAGCGGGTGGTCGGAATCGTACCCACCCCCCGGGTCCTTGCTGTTTCTTGTTTAATTTAGATTTCCACTCATATCTCTTTTTTATAGCCAATTGTAGTTTAGCTTTTACTTGGGTTCGATAATGGAGAACTTGGGAAACCCGGCGATGGAAGAAGAGTTGTAGAAGATGGCGAAGGTGGTTGATTTGGACGGTAATTGGTTTATTGATTTAAACAAGTTTATTGACTTGAACACGAATAGGGTTCATTCAGAAAAGGTTGTAGAGAATCCGAGACACGCGTCTATGATATTTAACGTAGATGGGAACGGGTCCATATCACTTGAAGAGTTAGAGGAGGTACTCAGAAGTCTGGGGGACGATAAGTGTTTGATCACAGATTATAAAAAGATCATCGTGGGGTCGATTCCGATGGAGATGGATTGGTAAGTTTTGAAGAGTTCAAGAGTATGATGTTGGACATGCACTCTTCTGGTTCATCCTCTCCAAAAGCATCATCACTTCAAACATTATTGAGGACATCATCAATCCCGAACTCATAAATAGTACCTTCTTAGGTTGTCAACGTATTAGGCGCGGGGTACCTACCTCCCTTCCAACGTCTCGAGCTCGTGCGTCCCTTCACCGAGCACTTGTCATACTCTATAAGGACCTTACCAATTCGGTCCCAACTTACCTAGATCGGTATCAAGCACCATAACTTTCTAATGTCCAAGATTATCAACTCGGAAGTAGCGTCTCTTGACTCAGGCGTTAATATACCAAGCTACTATCTTTTGGTTAGCCGCAGTCCGGATATATGTATGGGCTGTTATGATAAGGGTGATTAAGAGTTCTTAATAAGATAGAATTTGTTCTGTTAGGATAGAGTTTGAGATGGATTAAGATAGACTACATACAGTCCTAAATAGAGTCTAAGAGTTTGAATTTGAATAGGTTTGATATCTGTTTCAATCTATAAATATGATGTAATTATAACAGTCATTAATGCAATTTTTCTAGCTTTCCTTGTCTTTTATCATGGTATGAGTGCCAAAGGTTTGAATCTTGAGGCCTCCCACCGTGTTTCCTATGTCTCTAGCGGGTGGCCGGAATCGTAGCCACCCACCGAGTCCTTGCTGTTTCTTGTTTAATTTAGATTTCCACTCATATCTCTTTTTTATAGCCAATTCTAGTTGGATGGCAGGATGCTCTTTCCCCCAATGACTTGCATGTTGTTTTCGTTGTTATTAACATTGCTTGAGGATGCCATTGATGATGCATGATCTGGTTGTTCCTAGTTGGAAGGCTGTTTGAACGTCGGTTTAACGCGTCAATGTGGGCACTCCGATGCTTAAGTATGATAATATGAGAGCCAAATCACGCATACCTTGTGAGGTTTGAGGTGATGCTCGTATATAAGCGAGTTGTCATAGGTCTCACGAAACTTATCCGAGATCTCCAGCCCGCGTAACCAAGAGTTTGTTTTGCACCTGGAGATAGATTTTGTGTGAGCTGATAAGGCTTATCGAGTCCGTCCGATCCGGGCGGGATAAGGATACAACTTGCTAACATGCAATGTGATCCGGAGAAATCGAAGACGGTGGCTAGTTTCTTAGTCGAGGTGACCGAGGTGCCCGATCTGACCTATCATGTTGAGGTATTCAAAAATGCTAAGTTGTCATTTAATTATCTCTCCACATGTCCCCATCCTGACAGGTCAGTTAATTTCCTAAACCATTAAGGCACTTTAAGAAATTTGCTCAAGGCATTTGTATTAACGGGTGTTTAACGATACATACTATATTGCACATTTTGAAAGTTTAAGAAAAAAAAATGGCACTAAGCCCAAAGTAATTAATTGGAAAATTTCCCAAAACGAGGGAAGAGAATCCGAATGTATCAGTCTATACACGTCATAAATTTATGTCCATACGTTGACGAGAAAGAAGCATTGCTGACGTGGCATATCACAGGATAGGAAATGTTTTCAATACACAGCGGATATGTGATACGAGGCATTGTGGGGCGGAGATGTGGTCTCAGATCATTAGGTGCCCAGAACAGAACAGTTCCCCCGTAGCACAAATGAAGTGGTCCCACGTTCCAAGCTCCTTACGCTTGTGCTAGGCTGGCTCTTGACTGCTTTTGCTTTGCCAGAGAGGTTGTAAAAAAGAAAGCCTAATGCCCAAAAAAGCAAAAAAGCTAAAAAAAGTTAATTAATTGTGTATCTGTGTCATTGATAAAAGTAGAAGCACCTCATACGCATCTATGCGGAACGGGATCTGCTCCTCTCATTTGGGCGCCGGAACACATCAATAATAACTTTATAATTACGGGAGATGTTCCTAATGAATGATAGGATGTGCGTGTGAGCGCCCTATGTGAAGAGCTATTCCGAAATACGTGCCATCAGAGACCTAGCAAGATGGATACGGTATGGTCAAGCAGAGATGATCTTACTCCTTCACGGAGACAAAGCCTAAAAAGCTTATGGTGTCACAGTCATTATAATCATAGAAGCCACCTCCATTAGTTCAGGTTCTGTTTAACCTTTTTTTGGCAAGTAGACTTCCGTTGATGATGTTCAGGCTTTGAATTTGAATCCATGTAAATGTAATACGTGAGATGAGTATTGTGTCGCAAACAGTTTATTTCTGTAATACAACTTTACCAGCCTCATTCGATTGCTTTCTTCTTGATCACATCAGGTAATATTTCCACGTAGCGGACTACAGAAGAAGAATGATCATCGTCTATACCTGCCTGGACTGGAATCTGGAGTCTGCACCAAGAATGGAGAATGCACATAAGATTTACTGCTTTGTTGACGATCCATGCAGTGACTTGTGACAACAGAGCCCGGCTCCGGCAGGGCTGCAGGCAAGGCTGAGAGTAGATGGGCAGGCCCAGCCAACCAAACACTTGAGCCCCACGAGACGAGAGAAGCAGCAGGAGCAGGAGCTTCCTCGTCATCCCAGCCCCACCACACCCAAATTCACCAGTGACCCCTTCTGCTGTTCCTTTAATCTTCCTCCTTCACGCCTGCACAGAAGGACAGAGCCTCTCAAAAGAAGAAGAAAAAAAAAAAAAAA